CTCACTTAACCAAATAAGAGAAATATCATCCAATGTCTTCTCCCGCCGGCTGCCGGCGGCTGCGTGGGTGAGGCGAGAGGGAGTTTCAGACTCTTGCTGACTAAAAACCACCCCGTTCCTACTCCTGCACTTCGAGACCCGGTCATCCATTAAGTCCTCCGCGGCTCCGTATCGGCATAAGCCCTATCTGTGGTGGTCTGATGGCTCCTTGGGGCGTATGCGGAACGCGACGCGCCGTACGCACGGGTCTGGTTCTGATCGGGCGGCGAGTCATCCATGCTCGCCGACCGCAGGCCCGTGCTTACGGTGGCCGGAGACGTTTCGTGATCCTCGACGCCTGGAGTGTCACTCATGACGGCTGGAGCGTGAGAAGACTCTTTCCCTCACGAGCTCCGCCTCCTCCTTAGCTAGCAGGACTGTTTCGCAGAAGGAGGAGACGGCATCCCAGTCTCCCTCGCTCCGTATCATGGTCTGAACCAGTGTCGGACGCGAGAGGTCGCCGATTACATTCCTCAGGACACGGCGGTGTTCAGCCCATGCAGGGCACACTGCCACGGCATGCTCCACTGTGTACTCTGGGCGGCCCTCGCAATGATGACACCTGAGCGTTTCCTCCCACCCAATCCGAAACAGGAACCTACCGAAACTTTCGTATCCAGTAAGCACCTGCGTCAGGCGGTAGGTAAGGACGCCGTAGCGTCTTTGTCTTGGAGGTCTACCTGACCGGTAGATCTGTCATATACTCCGGTCACCGGGGCGAATGGAACCGGCGAGGGATGTCGCGCGGTGTTCCGCAGGGATCGGTTCTGGGGCCGCTCCTGTGGAACATTGGATATGACTGGGTGCTGCGCTCCGACCTCCCGAGCGGCGCTAGCATGACATGCTACGCCGACGACACGTTGGTGCTAGCGCACGGGAGGTCGCACCAGGCGGCGGCCGACTTAATGGCGACAGCGGTTGCGACAGTCGTTGAGAGAATCCGGCAATTGGGATTCGAGGTGGCGCCTCACAAGTCCGAGGCCATGTGTTTTCATGGCCGCGGGAACGCGCCACCTCCAGGTGGGTCACAAATAACGGCGGGAGGGGATACCATCGGCGTCGAGACGGCGATGAAGTACCTAGGACTCGTCCTCGACAGCCTGTAGAACTTGGTGGAGCACTTCCGACGTTTGGCTCCAAAGTTGAAGAGGACGGGGGCTGCGTTCAAGCGCATCCTCCCCAACCTCGGGGGGCCAAACGCCTCCTGCCGGAGATTATACACCGGGGTCGTGCGGTCCATGGCCCTTTACGGCGCCCCTGTGTGGGCGCTGAACTTGATGCGGCGGCCCGCTTGGGCGCTGCTCATGGCACAGAGGGTTATGGCGATCCGAATGATCCGCAGATACCGCACGATCTTCGGGGAGTCGGCGAACCTCCTTGCCGGATTACCGCCGTGGGATCTGGAGGCGAAGGTGCTCGCGCGCATGTATCACATGCGCGCGGAGGCACGTCGCCGGGGCGAAACTTCGCTGCCGCGCCAGATAAGTGCGTGGTGGGAAGAGCTCCGGCGCGATCTCATGGCGGAATGGCAGCAATGACTGTCGCAACCGAGGGCTGGGCTCGCTGCCATTGCAGCAGTAAGTCCCTTCTTTGAGGAGTGGCTTGAGAGAAGCTACGGCGTCCTCACCTACCGCCTGACGCAGGTCCTCACCGGACATTGAAGTTTCGGGAGGTACCTATGTCTGATGAAGCGGGAGGAAACGCCCGGGTGTCATCACTGCGAGGACCGCCCTGAGGACACGGTGGAACACACTGTAGCGGAATGCCCTGCGTGGGCTAAGCACCGCCGTGCCCTCAGGGAAGTGATCGGCGATGGCGACCTCCCGCGTCCGGGCCTAGTGCAGGCCATGATGCGGAGCGAGGGGGACTGGGATGCCGTCTCCTCCTTTTGCGAAGCAGTCATGCTAGCTAAGGAGGAGGCGGGACGCGTGAGGCAGCGAAGCGCTGCCTCCTCGCAACCCACCCATCGCGGAGGACACACCGGGCGTCGGGGATCATGGGACGATCTTCGGCCACCGTAAGCGTGGGCCTGCGGATGGCGAGCATGGGTGGCTCCCCGTCCGACCAGAAACAGACCCGAGCGTACGGCGCGTCGCGTTCCGCGCGCGCCTCAAAGAGCCATCAGACCACCACAGATGTGGCCCAACAGGGCCGATGCAGATTCGGAGTCGCGGAGAACCTATGGGGTAACCTGGGCTCCGGCTCGACGTGCAGGAGAAGGAACGGGTGGTTTGTAGTCAGTAAGAGTCTGACACTCCCTCCCGCCTCACCTAGGTGGGAGCAATCATTCGATGATTTTCCCCCCTTAAAAAAGAAAAAAAAGCGTCTCTGTCTCTCAAGCCACTCCTCAAATCTTACATGATACCTGCTGAGGAAGTACGTGGATGTTCAATAGCTATATACGGACGCCCAATAGCTATATATGGACGTTCAATAGCTATATACGGACGCCCAATAGCAATATACGGACGTTCGATAGCTGGTTGATCTTACGTGATACCTGCTGAGGAAGAAACATTCTTCGCGCGCATATCTTCGTCAGCCTCCGCTAGAGACTCCTGCCATTACCACGTCAATTATCAGGATCCTCAAATTTTTTCATCTTATGTTACTATATCTGATGTACCTACCAATTAAATTCAATTAATTCATCTTGCTCATTCCATTAATATTGATAGGTAGTATAATAATTATAAAGTGGGCACCTACTAGTAGATAACATTATTTTATCATTATCGGGCATTAGTAAATATATATTGATAGATTTAACGAATATTGGAATAATGTTGAAACTCTGTACTACCAGACCAGAGAGAGTAAAAGAAAGAGACAAGTGAACCCAAAGCTGGCAACGTTGCACTCGCAAATACCATCCACGCTATGGGGACGTTAAGTAGCTGATACTATGGTTAAATCATGATCAATATATCTAGGACTCCAATTTGTTATCACCATTGTTTGGGGTTCAAAAATGTTGCAGCATGACTGCAAGAAGAATATCGTGAAAAATAAAATTATCGGAAAATGACGTATCCTACAAAGCTGGAAATCGAATAACTAAGCAATATTCATTAAGACATATAAAAAAAATTAACGGGAACTGGGGGACGTCGTAATGATGCGCGACATGTGTGACGCCAAAATGATTCCAGGATGTAAATATATATATATATATATATACAGGGCAAACTGAGAACTGAGTACCATGTTGTGATTCTTTTTTTGAAATCGGTTAATAAAAATATTCGTAATACGGATGATGAGTTTAGTTACGCGGGGCTCTTGAATGTACCTATTTTTTTTATTTAAGCTTCATGCACAAAATGTACATAAGGTGGACTTTATGCCGTAGGCATTTTCTCCCAGTCTGACCTTTGGGTGATGCAGAGAAGAGTTAATGGTGTGAGCAAGAAGCAAGCAACTATTTAATTGAGCAAATATAGGGAAGCTATCACCTAATTGTAATAGGTTATCAAGAATTTACATTACCACATAGCAGCACTGGTTAGTACCCTACGTCCAACTTGATTTTAACCATGACTTTTAGCGCAATAGCTGCTAGACCCAAAATCACCATCTATAACTGTTTTCCATAACTAGGTACGCAAGGGTTACTCCATTAGGTAATCACATTTTATCAACTCTAAGAAACATCTCAGAGAACTGAGATTTTGTCCTACATTGAGAGATTAATGGTCTCTCAGTCAATTTTAATTTTCTTTCCTGTAACTCAACTGGCCAATATTGGCGTCGCGAGATCTAATACAGATGTAGGCAAGTCGCATCTCGGGGGCCCAAAGGAAGTTTCTACTGCGGTTCATATCCTGTACAAACAGGTAGGGTAAAATACACCACCCCGCTGTTTTTTTTTACACTTTATAGGTCGACGTTTGACCACCATCTCGCCTGACGGTAAGCGATGATGTGTATGTAAATAGTGAGTAAGTAAGTATACCTCGCAAAACCCTGTTTTGCGCGCGGCTAGCTACGCCGCTGCTCCCCATAGAAGTAACTATTATTGTTTTGTTTTAATACTGCCTGTATGTCTCTGCTTACCATTTCCAGCAGGACTAGCAGGCGTGAAAGTATGCTACGAAAAACTAAAGAAGTCTTCATAATAATTTTCATGAAGCTGCGTTTAAAGAAACCAACTTCAACCTCCTTCATTTTTCTTCTTTTGATCTAAAACCTACTTGTAAGTGAACAAATACCTACTTTTCTGAAAGCAGCAACTAATTATGCCGGTCCAACCAATTGCGAAATAATCGTGTACAAACATACATACAGTCATCCATAAATACATACATACATATTTTTATATATAGGTCAAACTCAAAACTTCCTTCATTTTTTTGAAGTCAGTAAAAAATTTACTGACCGTGGATCCTAGAATCAAACAAAATATTCACCCTCGTCAGTCAAATTTGCCATTTGATCAACGATGTAGTTGTTAGGATCAATAACAGGTTATAATAATAAATAATTATCTTTAAGATCATGCATTGTGTTGTGTTAAAAGGTCAGAAGATGAAATACTATAAAGCTAGGGATTTTGAGAAAAAATAAAACATTTAAAGGTCAAATCACTGTATTTATTCATATTTTTACCCAATATGATGTCATAGCTATCTAATTTGATATTTTTATTTTAAAGGCCAACTTTTCGGATTCAATATTTTATAAAACAAAGTAAAGTATTATATACAAGTAATTTTTTGAATACACGATCATTATTATTGCTATGTTACAAGTTCTTTGCACAGATATAAAATTTTCTCTAGTATATTATGCATGTACTATACATATAAATCTCTCGAATCATTCTATCTATTAAAAAACCGCATCAAAATCTGTAGTGGAAATACAGATCCAACTAAGCATACAGACACACAGACTGGAAAGCCACTTTGTTTACAACTATGTAGTGACAATAGTAAAAAACACCCGAGTATTCCTAATTGTTAATATTTATGGTAAGGTATAAACCCACGACAATTCTGTGCTCCACATAAACATTTAATTCTGTCACTCTCATTCACTGTCTCATCATCTAACCCAAAGTGGAATGTTATTTCCTCATCTGGAGATATATCTTTACAAGCAAATAAGCAAAGCTTTGGTATAGGGCTCCCACTTCTAACCGGCACAATATGACAGTTAGGGTCACAACTATGATTTACATATCTCCCAATGTTACCAAATGTACTTGGATCAATAATAGTGACTATAGTACTACTGCCAGAATATTCCCTTAGACACATAATATAATTCATTTTGCCCTCCCTCTTATTTATAATATGCCTTTTAGAAGCTTCTGTGGCAGTTAATATTTCCCCAGCATATTCACATACAAAAGTTCCAGAACTTATGAAAGATCTGGTAAACAGTCCGAAACCTTTATCACAGCTTCGTATATCTAGACCTTCGATTGGGCCGAGGTGTACAATTCTATTACCACAGAGAGGCCGCAGTTCCACAGCACAAGAGCAATCATTACTGCACTCCACAACTGGGTATGATTCTGATTTTGATATAAGTCTGTACTTAGTTTTACCATCTTTCTGGTAAGCTTCGTAATTGTAACCACCAGATCTTTGAATGCATTTACATGTCACTTGGGTACAAATATTCTTACATTGGCACTGTTCGTTAAGAGAATTGTACTCCTCTTCCAGTCGCATATACTCTACACTACGATCGTTATGTTGTAAAATATTTTCAGGTACATAGATTAACTGATCGTCGGCGTGATCGTAATTATCATACATTTTGCTGAATAAATTGAATAAAATAAATATTGCGAAGAAAAGTACTCAATCATTTGAATTCTAACAAGTGTCAATGTCATGTCCCAAGGCAAAAACTGTCAACTGTCAACTAGAGATGTAATTTTAGTACATTTTCTCTATTTTTATTTGTTTTTTTTTTCATTTATTATAGGTGGTTAAAAATACGTCATAATGCGTATGTATTAAATTATTTTCAAATAGCGTTAAAGTAACCAAAAAATGGCGATGCAAGATTTCTTGCCCGTCTCTAGCAGCGAAAATTAGAAATTGTCAAATAACAACAAGTTACATCAAATGGCGGCTACCGTTTCTTTGCTTACCAGGTTTCCAAAAGTCGTGTTTTTTAAGATTTTAAGAAATGTAGGAAATAGCCTTAGGAATAGGTAAGCCAATGCAGCATAATGATAGGTCTATTGTTACAAAAACTTATGAAAATCTTCTGAATTCTGTTAACTGTCAAACTCTGTCAGTGTGTTGTTAGACAACTTCCTGATACTAGAGGCATTGGTGAAAATCTTACATTAAGTTATAGAATTACAAAGAATAAAATAAAAAAAAAACTTTTATTTAAAAAAAATATGTTAGGTTCATATTTTAAAAATATTTGCAAAAACCATCTAAATAAAAATAAACTAATAGTTGTTTAGATGTACATACATATGCCTAAATACATCTGTAATTAAAAATTTTACAGGATTTACGTGTGGTTGGTCTATTATTTATATTAATGGGCGTCTAGGCATCGACTAGGTTTAAGGGTTTAGTGTCTTGTTTAGTAATAATAAATTATCTGTAATTAGTCTCTTTCTAGTTGTCACTTAGTCGATTTTACAGCCTAAAAATGCTTCCAGCCTAAAGCAAAAAGGCTCCTAACCAAGTCAATAGTTTGATCTTTTTTTAATATTTTCTAATGAAATAAAATATGTTTCCATCTCTTTCATTAAAAAGAACGAGTTGCGAACGACACGATAGTGGTCGAAGTTGGAACGAATTCATCCGTGGCCGCGCAGGCGCAACGTTGAACGTCTTGACGTGACGTAATTGCCCATTCATAGTTTTTATTCATTGAGAAATGAAGTTTTCAAAACATTTTCATGATCATGTTATGTTGTATATAGTTAATGATTCGAAATGTGAGATAAGTGTTTAATTACAAATTTGTATCAAAACCTACAAAAGGATTAAAAAGTTGGACCTAGTGCGTTCATTCATTGAAAAGAGTGTTCAGTGCATGTATGTATTGAGCACATGCGCAATGCAAGCGTGAATTCATTCGGTTTACTGTGTGTGATAAATGTATATTCAAAACATCGACGAAAATGTGGATTCTTAGAGTGAACTTTGTGTATGGATTTCAATTACCCAGCTAATTCGAAAACAGGCTCAAGTAGACCATTACGACACTCCGGAAGTGGCGGGACAAGCCGGCCGAACGGGCTCGTTCCGAAAGAGATAACAGCGGATGAAAGAGATAAACAGTTATGGATTTAACATGGCGGACGATATGCGTAAAGTGCGAGTTGAAGAAAGATTGAAAATAAAGATCGGTACGTATTGTTTTGCCATGTTTATTTAGTGTTTACACTTAGCAATTATTCTACAATTATTTTAAAAATAAATATTTAGACAAGAACGCTCGGCGCGTTGTAAGTAAAATATTGTTGTCATTGTGGTGAACAGGTGGTACCAAAGAACTCTTTAATTTTCTAAGCCAGATGTGAATGAATACCACCACGTTAATAAGTAATGCTATGGTTTCAAGTGCAATCATACGACGGATGTGATCTATTTTACATTTATTTGAGAGTCTAGTTCTTTGTTTTCGTCGTACTGTTTTGACAGTTCACGCAAACTTTATGAATGAATTTGATGAATTGCCGTGAATACAATGAATATCGTGTCTAGATCATATTAGATTAGATACTGCTGTGTACTCTCATCATTTAATTCATTATGACTAAGTTGAAACTGGAACTTCCCGCCCGTTTGCTTTCTTTTTCAAAAGATACTTGCACTTTTTAAATATTGTTCTAGTAAAGATTTTAGTATGAAGATTATTTTACTACTTTACAATGAAAGAGTTCTTACAATACACATAGTCATTCACATTATGTACTCATCCATTATGTATGTTGTTTCTATTTGAATTTTCCTAATCTTTATTCTATCTAATTTACAAATATTATCTACAGTGCAATTATCTTCTAATACATTAATACAATGAGTATATTAATTATTATGTTGCTTATAATTTCTTTTAACTTTTTCAACTAATTGGAAGGTACCGGCACAGGCAGTTTGTAGAGTTACAATTTATTATCATAGTTACCTAATGTGTCTGTAATCATGTAAATGATTAAAGTTATCACCTATTTTGAAAGAATAAACAATAATGTAGTTGCAATACTTCATTTCAAGGATACATATTTGTAAATTTTATGTACTTCTAAATTATATAAACTAAGCTATAAGTAGTATTCTGTGCTATAAGTTTAAAGCGAGGTAAAACTGTTAAACATACAGCATTTTTTAATGCTCGAAGCACTGAATACATAAATGCCATATAATTAGAGTAACCATAACTAAACTATATCAAAATGTAAGTCTTCCAGGTACATATCCGCTAACTAAATAAAGATGTGAAGTACACCTTTAATTAACTCTGCCAATTAAACAGTTAAAATCTTGCACTAAAAAACTAATTCATGACTTGTGACATCTTTTGCATTAACTGGTCACCGGGACTTCATTCTACAGTTAGAGAAGGTTGAAAATTAACTTAATATACCTTATTTTAGCACAGTATAACTAACCTGCTACTAATGGTACTCTAACTAGTGTAAAGATGCTGTATAATGCATGAAGTAGATGGTGTTAAAGCAACTGCCAATATCATGACAAATTAATGTTACTTTTTTGTGGGGGGGAAATCATCCAATAACTTTTCTCCCGCCTTGGGTTAGCCGAGAGGTGTCAGAATCTTACCGACTACCACTACATTCCAACTCCTGCTCTTTGAGCTGGAGCCCCGGAAACCCGTTAGGTCTTCCACCCTTTGAATCATGAAAATAAACCGGGAACCTAATGATAGAGATTTTGACACATGGTGCATGTAGGTACCATAAGTACACTGCACAATTGGATGACGTGAGCTAAGTAATGCATTTGCATATGTGTGTAGGTACAGAAATGTATGATATGATTGATTTGTGCCGGCGCGCGGTGGCGGCGCGGGCGCATAAATCTACGATAACACGAAGTGTGTCTGCCACGATAAGGGTGCAGTATGCCTTCCGGGGCGCGACCCGCCGACGCTTTCGCTTCTATGTTGCTTTGTTATAATTTATATAACATAGGTATATAACTTTGTTGATTAATTAAAATTCTACAATTAATTTGCGTAATGTAACAGTTTAAAACTCTTTATTTTCCTAACTCATAAGACCTAACTAAATTTTTTTGAGCTAACCTGGCTAATATTCATGAAAATAATTTTAGCTGTACAATAAAAGATTTTTTCAAAATTATGTTCCTATTATTGTTGCCGATAATATTTTAGAAATAAAAGTATAAGACGGATGGTTGAGAGTTTACCTAGACACTTTTTAAAACCTTCATCAGTATAAAATTCAATTATATGCACAGTTCAATATAAATAAATATGTATTTAAGGCACAACCAAAAGAATTCCTTTTAATAGCGTAACCTAGAAGAATAGTTGAACAATTATGGTATGTCTTAATTGGCTTTGCACTTAGTAGATTACCTTGTTTATGGATAATTACTGAATGTAGTTGTGGGCGGCGGCGCCTAGTTCTAGCTCTGAGACGCGCTAGTCTCAATAGTCCCAAGCGATAATGTACGACAACATTAGACTGTACCTTTACGCCTTATTTATGGCAACTTCCGTCGTGCCTGCACCTTATCTACCCATGCGCCATCATACACCTTTGTTCATACCAATACTTACAAACCCAAAAGGGCAACTGCTAATTGAATCCTATTATTTATTTGATGCGTGGTATGACTCAAGAATCGACTACCTGCGCCTTTTGAGGTTTGTCGATAAAGCATCGTTTTCACTCTTAGGAGTTGGGCTCAAGTTCTGAACACTCCGCGTCTCGACTGTACGTAATATAAACGTTGTTTTTGTACAGTACAACTACATTAACAAGTGAATGTGAGTCACGCACGTACCTAAGTACATACGTATCGTGTCTTATTTCTTAGGTAAACAGAGGTTTCTGATTAGCAGTGTGTATTTCACTGTACTGCCTGTCGCCTGCCTGACGACTCAGTAGCATTTCTTGGGAGCTATATTTATTTACAAGTGGCGTTATCGTTTTGATACCTACATGTATATTACGTATAATAAGGCGTTAAATAATAGGTACTAATTGTTTTTAGTTTTGTAACACATGGTACTGGTAGTTGATACACCTAAATATTATTTGACTGATAGTGTTTCACTATAAGTACATGCATACTATTAATAGCACTTGTTATGTGAAATACATTTTAATATAAAATAAAGGTCTCTTATATTTTAGTCTGTCTGCATTCTGAACGCAGATATTGCAGATTTGCGTTAGTCATATTTCTAAATTCTACTGCCTAAGTTTTATTCACTCACTACTATAATAATAAACATAGAATTCAAATCTAGGTTGAATCGTCTCGTCGATCGCATTGTATAGTAGATACAATATGAATTTCTGCTCACAGATACAGGAAGCTAATTATTTTTAACTGACTAAACGATCCAAGCGATAGTACGTTGGCTAGGTGTGAGTGCATGAATGAAGATATTTCAGCGTCGTTATCTTAATGTGGGTTGATAATTTGGTTAGGTGAATTATGCGATAACTGTTTAGGTAGAATCTTAGTAGAAACAATAAGAGCGGCGCGACGTGATGGCGGCTGGCGGGCGTCGAACGTCGCCTTGTACATAGTACATTGTGTATCTCGGCCTCGGCTCCACCAGCGAGCTAGCGAGGGGCGGGCGGCGGCGGTAGCGACGCCGCGTAGTGAATGGGGCAAACCAAGCGTTTTCCATTCAACGTATCCATTCATGGAAACTCGTCGATCCGTTAATGAAAAACGCGCTTGTTTATCGTCACCGTTATCGCCGTCTCTGCGGAGCACCACATGTGACTGGCGCGCCACTTGCCAATATCATATTTTCATTCAATCGTCGCGGCATTCGTACATCATAAAAATGTACGAATTTCCATTGATAAGATTGTTTACTTCATATGATATGGAATCACATTTTTGCTACATTATTATATTAAAAGTAACAATAGAATTTATTTACATACGCTGTACGCATGTTTGAACGAGTTCATCTGCAAGGCCGTACTGCTTCATAATGTTAAAATAAAATCATTTAATACGAAGTGCAAGGTTAAATTATATTATATATATAATTATATTTTTTCGTTATTAAAAAAAAAATTCTGCTATTTGAGGAAAAGTTCAGCGGTCCTTGTGTTAATAAGTGGCGTAACTGACTTGACTTTGACAATAAATAACTGTTTATATATTTGTATGGAGGATAAATGGTCAGTTTACCTATTAAAAGATCAATGAAAGGCTATTGGTAGGTAACATAATGTTTAATTATACATAACCAAATAAGGATCATGAAATAACTCAACGAAAAGTCTGCGAATAGTAGTTAGAATCTAGGTATAGTTACAGACTTGAGCCTGAAGCCTCTTTACTTGATTAGTGTCCTTTTAGAAAACTAATAGCTCTGTGAAGTTATGAGAGGGTTTGAAAATCTCCATCAAAAAACGTAAAGGTTCACCACAGTTAAATAAGAAAAGAATAAAGAAAACTTTGATGTTAACCTGTGTTTCTTGATATTTTTGTACTGTCTACCACTTTACTATACTATCCCCTAATATCTATAAATTAAGGTGCCTTTTATTGATCCTTTTCTTCAGCACTGTTTGCACTTTTACCACTTTTACTTGAAAATAAAACTAAAAAGATGATGTAAAATTAGGGACATTATTAATTACTCTAAAACAGTATGTAACTTTTATGTTTAGTGGCTATTATTTTAATAAATAGCCACAAACACTTTGTATCGTGCAGTAGGTACATATATCAGGCTTATCTAAAGTCATTGCTCTTTTGAAACACGCTCTGAATGATCATACATATTATATATTTGCAATTTTTTATAGATTAGGGTCATTGCGTACTCATTAGTCCTTTTAATTGCACTTGTTACGTCGTGTTATACTCACTGTTCTACAAAAAGGACTAAAGGAATTCATAGGTACTCTGTTAGTCATATTTTACATAGAATTATGAAGCCCTGTCCTCTAATATACACATTCCATTGGTTGCTCTGAAAAGTTTTCATTTAGTAAATAGAACATAATGTACATACATCTACATATTCTACATAGTTATCCATCGGTTTCCGCAGTTTGTCATTCGATATTCATTCGTGTTATTCTTCAATTGATATTGTTATCCAGTCGGATAACAATGAGTCTGCTTCCCTGTTTTCATTTCACAATTAAAGTTA